TGGAAGAAGATTGATGCTGTTCTGACTGGTGCCTCCAACGCTATGGAGACCTGGGTAGGGGTTGATCCCTGTAATTTATAGGATTGGAAGCTGCTTGGTGTGCACTCAGATATAGTTTATCCCTCTCAGATCTCTGATAGTACTGATGGCTAGGCTAGCTCTAACTTTGTCAGCATGGCAGCATCAGACAACCAGATCCTTCTGCAAGGCCATAGCCAGCTTGTTAGCTCACTTTTAGGAAAATGTTCTGAGATATAAAAGTTTAAGTCATAAAGGTTAAGATATGAGTCTAAGAAAGGTCTGAGGATAGGAAAACTTCTAAGCTTTGAGGATCTCAGAAAATAATTTAAGATTAAAAAAAGTTTCAGATTGCTCTCCTGTTCTATGATATAATAGTTCAGAGCTTAACATTTAAGAGTCCTGATAAGCTGGTAGAGCAATGACTACTTACTGTTCAGTCACAAGCTCAGCATTTTAGATTTATTTTAGTTGTCATCTAAATATATCTAAATATAAACCTAAAAGTGTTTCTCATCAGGTCAAAAATCTCTGTCCAATTTATACCTGGCTTTCTGGACAGAAGGAAAATACACAAGCTTTTAACCCAAATCTGTAGTTCTTGTTGGGACTCAAAGGTATGAGTTCACTTCTGCTGTTTTACAGATACCCATTACCTGCTTTGTCTATGATATGGATTTCAGCACAGATTGGTAATACTAATGTATCTAAAATTTTTATGTCATTTTGTATTCCTAAGGATGGTATTTTCTCTCTCTCTCCTGGTCTTGGGACTCCTGCTCTTCCCAGTTACTAAGGATATGGGCCTAAGGGTTACAAATAAGTTCATAAAATTTAACTTCTGTTCCTAGTTTAAGTTTGTCTTAACAGATCTCCACTTGGCTGGCAGCCACCTCCAAGTTTCAGTTGCTGACTACACTGCTCTGGACGACTGTGAGCTCCAGACTTGCTAAAAGCTGACGTGGACCAGCCCAGCCAACATGATTGTTCCCTGTCTCCATGGGGTCAGACAGCCACATGCTTCTGACAGATGCCCCAATGACCAGCCTTTGACCAGCCTTTCAGCCTTTTGGGGGCCCTGACAATGGCACCCCAATGCCAGCTCGAAGCAGTTCCAGAGGAAAATACGCCATCCCGTGTTCCCTGTTCAGAAGAGGCTGAAATGCTGGGTCAAAAGGAAACTCCCTGGCAAAGAGGCAAGATGGCCAACTATAATGCTCATTGACATACTAGGAAAATAGGTTCAGAGTTGTCAATTGATAAATTTATTAACTGAAATGGTTCTGCAATAAGATAAGACACTTGACCTCCTTTATGCAGAACCAAAGAGGTACTATATAAGATTATAATCTGGTTGTACTCAAAGATCAGAACTACAGGGCCTTAAAGAATGGCAATAGATACATATGTCACTGCCCTAGAAAAATCTGTTAGCTAATGGTTCTTACATCCCAATACCCTTGAATCTCTGGACAGGTAGGACTCATGATTGAGTCCTGTCATTGGTACTTGTGAAGGGGGGAGTGTGAAGGCCTAGACTTGACTTTACGGGCTCAGGATATGCCACGATTACTCGAATGGACACAGAGCAGACATCCTGTCTGCTGTTTATACAGGAAGGAAAGCTTAACAGGATCCAGATACTCCTGCAGACATCCTGTCTGCTGTTTATACAGGAAGGAAAGCTTAACAGGATCCTGTCTGTGGTTTATGGCCCTTGGAGATATCTAGATAATCTTGCTGAGCAGTCCAGATAATCCTGTTCAGTAGGTTGTGGTTCCCCGCCAAAAGTCTAGACCAATAGTTTCAAAAAGTCACCTTGCCCCTTCTACCCAGTCCCAAGTTGCCAACCCTAGCTTGTGGTTCTTCCCTATAAAAACCCTCTACACCTGGGCTCGTGACCATTGCCACATCTCCTTCCATCTGCCATGTGGCTGCCCAGGTTGAACCTGAATGAAAGGACCCTTATGTGACTGCATGGGGAGGGGGGCTGAGCATAGCAGTGCACGCCAACCCTGTTCTAGGGAGGCTGCTGCAGAAGGATTTCCAGTTTAAGGCCAGCCAGGGACACATATCAAGACTGTCAAAAATAAAAGTGGGTGGGCAGTGGTGGCGCATGCCTTTAATCCCAGCACTTGGGAGGCAGAAGCAGGCAGATCTCTGAGTTCGAGGTCAGCCTGGTCTAGAAATCAAGTTCCAGGACAGCCAGGGCTGTTACACAAAGAAACCCTGTTTAGGAAAAAAAAAAACCCAAAAAACAAAAAAAGGTGGGTTGAACAGTGGCACACTCCCTTAATCCTAGCACCCACTGGGGTGGCTCAAAACCATCCAGGAGATCAAATGCTGTCTTCTGATCTTTGTGGGCATTACACACACACACACATATGGTGCACAGACATACATGCAGGCAAAAAACACTTAAAAAAATACTCTTGGGGGCTGGAGAGATGGCTCAGAGGTTAAGAGCACTGGCAGCTCTTCCCGAGGTCCTGAATTCAATTCCCAGCAACCACATGGTGGCTCACAACCATCTGTAATTTGATCTGGTGCCCTCTTCTGGTGTGCAGGCAGAACACTGTATACATAATAAATAAATAAATAAATCTTTAAAAAAAATACTCTTAACACACAAATCAATCTCAAAAGATAACCCCAATGTGGGAGCCCGTTCTGGGGTTCCTCGTGGCTTT